CTGCAAAAACCTCAATTAGTCTGTTTAACGTTCTCCACAAAGCATGCTACTGTACTGTTACTGAGTGAGCGATCTGGGATCCTCAGGTATGTCTGCTGAGATAAAAAGTGAATGATTTGCTGTTCCACGTGTTTGGTGAGGCGCTGTTTGTACAGAGCTATTGCATAAAGACAGCAGCACGGAAGCCAGCCCTCCTCCCTGCACATGTAATGTTTTAATGCAGACAAAATGACAAGTGGTCCTTTTACATTGGGTCATACTTTTGGAAAACCACCCATGATCCAATTCGTTTGGGGACAATCAAATATTTTTCATTGTATGTTGTTGAGCTCTTCCAGAAGAACTACAAATAGCTCTGCTATAGCTAGAAATAGCTAGAATTTGTAACTCCATTAAAAGAAAACAAACAGTTGTCTGCCAATAAAAAGCAAAATAAAACAGAAACTCCTCAAGTGAGGATCCACACATAGCATTATCAGCACAGAAAACACGCTTCAGGTAAAGTAATTAAAACAAAAAACACTACGGATTATAGCAAAACAACTTTGAATTTCTGTTGCAGGCACAGAACTCTACTAGTCAAATTTATTATATATGGGAAACGCTCTCAGTTCATGGAACCCATGATAGTGGTGTAATCTCATGAAGACTTATAGGTCAACCTTCAAGAAGCAGTCTGGCTCTCATAGTCACCAAAGTATTTCTATTTGGCTTCCTCAAATATTTATGTATAATTAAACCCTTTGGTGGTAAACAGAATCATGAAGCTTTTAAAGTTGCCGGTGTGTCATCCCATATTTAGCATGACTGCTTGAGAAGACTGAGAAATTCCTGTGTCCTGAGCTACATTCTTCTGCTTCACTTTCACATCTCTGCTTATAAAGTTGTAGCATTTGAGAACTTCATATGCAAAATTATTTTTCTTTTTTTTTTAAAATTAGCATAAAATAAGTGTAATTGACCAACCTATTTTCAGGGGCAAAAGATACAATGTAAAAGATTAAATAGAGGAATTAAAAGTGAACATTAACAAAGGAGATATTCAGAAACACTGTAGAAAGTAAATCAGCTCGTGTTTCTTATTCTGTCAAAAATAAGCAGAAGTCTTCCTAGCAACTGTTTTCCTGAGGCAAACATTTCACTGTGCTTTATTGAGAAGGCCTCTGTGGGCTGTTGTCCCATGGTCAGATTCTTCTGAAGATCTGCACCCAGACATGTTTTTATTGACTCTGATGGAAGAAGCCATTAAAGATTACAGTTTAAATTAATATGGGGAGTGAAGAATAACAAAGCCTAAAGTTAGAGGAAAAAATGCAGTACACAAGCCCAAATTAGTTAACCACTACACAAAGCAGTACTTATCTCTCACCTGGTATTTTCTTGTAGAAAGGACACTTTTTTTTCCTTGCTCCTTCATCTGGAGTAGATGATTCTCTAAATCTTTTTCTCCACTTCCTTTGACCACCAGAAGTTACATCTGCAAAGCCTCCATCCTTATTTGAACTTTCTTTAACTGCTTCTAGATCCTCCACAGATCCTTCAGCTTTTCTTTTTTGCTGTCTGGGCTTCTTTCCACTGGGAGCAACTGAACTGAGTATCTGCTTTCCCTCACTCAAACACGCCTCTCCTTTGCTTTCCTCTTTTACTTTAGGTTTTAACCCAAAGAAAACACCAATGTCCATTTGTTTGAGTCCTTTGGCAGGACTGGATTTGGCCTTCATACTTGCTAAGGAACAAGATGAGACCGTTTTAGAGATGGGGCTGGGAAAGCACACACCAGTTGAATCGAGGTTTTCTTCTTTCTTCACCGCTGGCTGCAAACTCTCTTGGCAAGCTCCTTTTTCAATGGCATCAGCAGTCATTTTATCCGTATTAGTTAAAACAACACTTGGGCCTCTCAAAACCTTATTTTTTTGAGACAAAGGAGATCCAGCACCTTCTGTAAGTAGCTCTGGTTGTGTATGAATAAGACCTGAATACCCAGAATCCAAAGCACAAGCACCCTGGTCTTGTGACTCTTTATTACCTGTGTTAACTGCAGGGGAAATCAATCCTGGCTGTTGAAACTCCTCATTGCAATTAAGAGGAAAAGAGGATTCTGCTGATAGCATCACTTGTTGATTATCTACACATGGTGAATTACAGCATTTGCTGTCTACATAACTCTGAGAAGCGCTTTTTCCACTATGATACAAACAGCTCAATGTATTTATTTCCTCACAGTGTTGCTTTTCAAATTTAAGAACTTCAGCATCAGATTCATCACCTTCAAGATTCTGGACTTTGAGTAGTTTATTCTGTGATGTTTTTACTTCTGTCTCTTCCTCGACTTCACCCTCACTTTCCTCACAAGTACTCAGTGGAGAATATGAAATTTCCCAGTCACTGAAATCAGCTTTTGACTGTAGTAGGCTTGGCTGACTCGTATCTTTTTGACTACAAAGGTCTTCTCCTGGAACACTTTCTTGTGAAGGTGTAAAGTCATAAAATTCAAACTTACAGCTGTTATCTGTGGTTTGTGTGGGCTGAAATACTTGTTGAGGCTTTTGAACATCTGCAAAAGAGGAAGTGCTTTCACTGGTTATATTTAGAGATTTCCTTTGTGCCGAATCCTGTATCTTTGATGTACACTCATTATCTGGGACATTTTTTAAGTTCTTAGATGTTTTCTCAGTCTGTGAGACTTCTACATGACTTGGAAAACAGCTGGACTTTGCAGCAGTAGAACATGTCATCTTCCTCTCCAAAGTGTTTGCTGTAGAGTTCACAAGATATTCTCCTGCTCTGCTTGCTGCAAGTAGAAAATGGCTATAGCGCTTGTAGTGGGATGGAATGGTAGATGTGCACAGTAAACCATCAGGACACTCTATGGAAAAGCAGTTCAACCAAAAAGTAACATTAATATCTTTGTAAATGTAGTTTGCATAATTATTACATCAAATAAAAATCTCATATGGCATACAATTTTAAAGCTTTTCTTATAAATGTAGTTATTGGAGGACAGAAGGCACAGGTACAAAGTAATGGTCAGGCAGCCACATCTCCTGGCCCAAGCTGGTGCAAAATGAAAGGTTTTAGGTTTTCCACCCTGATATTAGCACAGCTCTGAGCCTGCATTAGTTCACCTTTCTAGCAAGATGAATATGTTACCCTGTTTCAGCACCGTACTTACTAATGTGCTGCGTGGTTTCTAGTTTAGAATTGTCTCATGTACAAGCAAGGCTCAGATCAAAAGTGCCTTAAAAGGCTACAACGTGTTTCAAAACAAACCAAACCTAGGTTCTGAATCTACTTGAAATTCCATTTAAAATTGTCTGTTTGGTGACATTTTAAAAACTAGTCAGGTATCTGCTTATGTAAGTACTGTAAAAAGGACTCAGGGTTCAGATGCCAACAAAAGATCTGTCGCTGTTCCCTGAACACTTTTTGTTGACAGTTTGCTAACCTAACTTTTGAGAATTTTGACGGATGCAAATCAATTAGGACTTTTTTCCCCATTAATTATAGGAAGAAGAGATGGAAATGAAGTGTAGAACATCTGCCTTAAGGTAATACCACCATCAAAAACAGGATTAAAGGCTCAATTTTAATTGTTCTGAAGAAGAAACTTCAACAAAAGTAAAACAGATATGAAGAAATTCTGAATCAAAAGCTGCAAATCCTTAAATGAAGGATATTTCCCATTATTTTACAATGGTAAATATGTACCCTCGATTTCTTCCTTAATACAATGGAAGTGGAACTTGTTAAACAATCATGAATCTTTGTTAATGCTCCACATTTTTTGAGATTTTCATATCAGATTTCCATGTTCTTCACAAAGAACTGAAAATTCGATACGAGAACATTTTAACTACATATGAAAACCAGAGCTTACAGCAGTTATCTGTTTAACATATTTTGCTGAAGACTTCTTTCTTACCCTATTCCTACCTTTTTCAACAGATCCTGGAGTATCCAAACATTCAGCAACATGCCAGCGAGGTGTCTGCACCAGCAGCAAGGAGAAGGGCATCTGACAGCTTGGGCAATATCCATCACAAACCAGCCTTGTGCTTGGTGAGCCCTGTTCTGTCAGGCTGCTCAGGCTTTCCTGAGTGTGCACACTGTTGTCATCTTTAGACGGATCCAGGTCCTCGCTCGGCCTCAACCTCTGCCCGCTTTTCTGAGGAGTACTACTTTTATCCACAGATTTCTTTTTGTTTCCATTTCCCTTTCTTTTCAGCCTGCATTTGCCTTTGGTTACTGTCTGCATGGACACAGAGGTACTGTTTGAGTTACTCTGTGGCTTTCGCTTCCTAATTGATTTGTATTCCCAAATGTCCTCTTCCAATAAAGCATCTTCAGACATGGCAACATACAAAATATTGTCCTTGCACTTAAGCAGCAGTTCACAAATCTAACTTTCCTACCATTGATAAGTTTTGTCTTCCAGCAGTGAACGTGAGATGGAAGAAAAGCAACTGAGCCCCATTCTACAAAAGCATCACTGTGCCCCAAACCAAACGGCAGCCCCTGATGGGACAGGAGCATGGTGGATCCGATCCTGAAAATAATTTAACAAGCGTCTCTTTGAGTATCTGCAACAGTTGTTAAACAAGAGCAGAATCTGTCAGGTACAGAAGGAATGGCTGACAGAGCCATTTCCTTCAGCCCTCCCCTCCGACACCCAGCCCGGCCTGCGGTGCTGCTCTCCCCGCACCCCTGACCGCCCCCGAGAAGGATTTAAAAGAAAAAGTGACTTCAGCTCCGAGATCGCTGCCACGAGCCGCCACACAGCGAAGATCGAGGTGAGCCCAGCGCTCCGCTCCCGCCGCCGAGCAGCCGCCGAGCAGCCGCCTCGCTTCAAGCGCGCGCCGCCGGCCGGCCCTCACAGCCCCGTCGGCGTCCGCAGTTTCGTCACCTCCTCTGTCATTACATCTCCTTCCGCTCCGAAAATTTAAAAAACAAAACAAAACACAACAAAACCTCAATCTTTGGTTCCGATACATCCCAGTTGTGACGTATTTTACGCTTAAGAATAATTAAAAAAAAAAAAAAGCGTAATAAGCGGGGAAAAAAAAATAAGGCGGTGGTGCTGAATCTGCTGGATAGGAATCACCGCTCGGGGTTTAGCGCACAGTTTCCCTCACGAATGTGCTTCTGCGAATTGCAAAAGCAGGGTTAAAAATGAGAAATGAACTTAAAAGCTCCTCCCTTTAGGAAAGACGAATCTCTGTGTGTTTGCGTTTAGCGTTTTCATTGCTTGTTTTGCTTTGGTTTGATTATAGCTCTTCTATCCCAGGCCGAATGTGCGGCGGCGAAGCGGCAGGCCAGTAAACAGCGGCGGGCTCGGCCTGGAGGCGCCATGGCGGCGGAGGGCCTGGCGGGGCTCCTGCCCGCACAGACGCAGCTGGAGTACGCGCTGCTCGACGCCGACACCGCTCAGGAGAAGGAGAACCTGGTCTACCAGTACCTGAAGAAGATGGACAGCCGAGAGCGGGACCTGACAGTGCCCGAGCTCGGCGGAGGTGGGTGGAGGGGCCCGGCTGCGCCGCGGAACCACCGCCCCGTCGGCTGGTGTAGGAAAAGGCTGGGCAGCGGGCTCGTGAAGGCACGGGAGCGAAGGAGAAAAGAACCTCTTTACGAGTGTGCCTCTTGCTACCCCTTGTAAAAACCCCTTCTTTAAAGCCTCGTTCTTAAGCTTCCTATGCTTTGTGGGTTTTTTTTGTTTTTGTTTTTGTTTTTTTTCCAAATAGGCGCTTTCGTTTTTTGCAGGAAGCTTTCTTCTGGTTCCTTTGGTTTTGCTGCAGCTCTTGCCCTTCCACTTCAGGCCTTTCTAAGCTCTCTCACCCCATGATCAATTTATGCTTGCTGATTTTCATGTTCCTGATAAAGTGTTTCGTGCTGGAGATGCCGTCCTGGTTCAGTGGTGCTCCTTTTTCCACTTCCCATATTCCTGTAACTTTTGTGCAAAGCATTCATCCTGCAGTTCTTGCTCTTGTGGGTGCTTGTGGCTCAGAGATGCTTGCTGGGGCTGTGAGAAATGAGGGATTGCAAGACAGAGACCCAAACAGATAAAATACAGGATTAACATTATAACATAGGAGTGAATTCTGACTTCTAACCATTGTGAATGCTTTCAGTGTTTGGATTTGGCCTCCTGAATTGAATCTTCACTGTCATTACCATTGTTTTGCTTTCTGTATTTTGTCAAAGCTTCTGTTCTTTTCTGGAGATGAGATCAAATAAGTAGCCAACTCTTTTTAATTCCAGTGTGCTTTAAAGGAAGATATTTTAATTCTAGTGAAAAGTGGAGCGATGCCATTAAAGCAATCTGGTCTTCTTTCAAGAAGCAAAATGTAAAGCTTCACTCTTGTATTGCAGAAATACATGAACTGAAATTAATTGTCTCCAAGTCTGAATGTGCATACATTCATGTTGTATATATGAATATACATCAATATGTACTTTGTGTATAGAGGGAGGCCAAACTTCCTCATAGCAAAGCAGAAAACAAATATGCTGACTCAGGTAGCAATAACTTCTGGAGCACTGAGCTTGCTGAAACTGATGGGGTGAAGGTTCAGATTATTCTGAGTACATTTCTGCACTCCAAAAAATAGTCCTTTAAGAGTTGTTTGACTTCACAATGTATCACATCTGTTTTTTCCCCTTTTTTTCCCCCCAAAACTGTTGAGTGGCAAACGGTTATCTAGGACATTCAGATCTCAATGCCAGGATCAGAGTAATATCAGTCACCAGTGAGAAAGCATTGCCTTCATGTTTCAAATCAAGTAATGAGTGTCCAAGTATACTTCCACCTCCATCTGAAAGAGTTATAGTTCTGTCACCTGGGAAGTAATATTTCATGTCTATCATTTTAGGTTGTTTAAAATGAAGGCCAAAACTAAAAAGGGAAAAATATTGAAGTTATCTCTGAAAATGTCATTTACAAAAATGTTGTAAAATGAAGAGTTTGAGTTCTATTCCATTTGCATTTATGAGTTTTTAAAGTCGTTATTAACACCTATGATGTTGTTAGGTGTTGAGTAATACAGGTTCTTTTAAAATATATGGAAATTGTTCTTCAGCTTGCATCTTCTGGCAATTAAAAGGTACCTTTTAACTATATAAGTTGTACTTTCAATGTTACATTAAAATTCATTTAGTAATTTTGAATATTTGTGTAATATGAGGGTGAGTTTGATAAACATAAGACTGCTGTTTTGCTTTTCTACTTGGTAGAAAGAGATGGGGTTGCTTGCCTTAAGTGAAATGCCCTAGAAATGTTGTGTTAGCATACCAGTTAGGTACAAGTGTCTTCCTTTCCCTGCCCTTCCTCTAAGTGGCTATCTCTGTTCTCTGTGCAGATCTACAGTGGTTAAACACTGAAGGTCCCATTTCTCTTCACAAAGACCTTCGTGGAAAAGTTGTGGTGTTGGATTTCTTCACTTACTGCTGCATCAATTGCTTGCACCTGCTGCCTGATCTCCATGAATTAGAGCACCAGTACTCTGATAAAGGTAAAAGAGCTTTGGCTTGCACAGAATAGAATTTCCTGGCAGTGTTGCAGGTGGAGTAGCTGAGTCACTTCAGTTACTAAACAGCTGGCAGCATTTCAGGGATGCCTAAAAATGTCTCCTAATCTTTTAAGTATCCTGACAAAGGTTACTGGCTGTGCTCTCATCACATTTTTAGGTGGGGTTAAATATGGGGTTTCTTTAACTGTATGGGCACAAAAGACACAATGTGTGTCTAAAGCCTGAATCTGATATCCTCATAGGACTGTTGGCAAAACGCATGGATGTAAGTTACAGGCACAAAGTTGCTGTATGCACACGTGCCTTACAAATCAACTCTGAGCAGGACATGGTTTAGTTTATTTTTTTTTTTCCCTTTCCAAGTGGAAATAAAAAAAACTTGGTTTAGGTTTTCTTTTCTCCCCCTCATCATCTTATTTTCAGTTAGTAGCCATCTACCCTGAGAGAGGGGATTAAGCTCTTAAAGATTTAAAGTTCACATCTGAAATAAAGCCCATCTCTCTCTGACCAAATGAAAATTAAGGGTAATTACTATTTAAGATTTAGTCTCTTGTCATTCTGATGACTTGTCAGAGAGAAGAGGTGTTCTTACACACAAACATATCAGCAACTAAATTAACTTGTGTGTTTTAGCAGACTAACTAATTAGATGAACAGCGTTACTTTCATTCAGTAAAATATTGTAAGGACTGACACAGTAAACATTACTTTAAGGTTTACATTTTTGATTCTACAGTAACATTCCTGATCTGATTGTTATTCTGTCAGTATTTATTTTTGTGCTTCCTGTTTTTGTTAGAAAAACAGATGGCAGCATCATTGAAATTAGAAGTTCATTAAGTTAGTTCACATATATTGTAGGTTTAAGTAGTGTTTTACAAAAGATTGACATAGAATAATTTACCTGCTTAGAAAAATTTGACTGTTTGCTTTGGAGAAGTTTGAGAACTGGTGTAATATTTTAGCTATGAGGAGCTTCATTAAAATAACATCTTCATAGCTGTTTTTTTTTGTGAAGGAGGCAGTTTTTAGTGGAAAGCAATGAAGAAGTTAGGAAGGGATTGTTCTGGATGTCAGGCATGCTGGGAAAGAAGGTCTGCTTCAGAAGATGGAATTTGTCATTGAATTGATAACATCCTTAAACAACACACATTTTAAAATATATTTTAATATATTTAAAATATATTATAAAATATATATATATAAATACAGCAGCCATCCCTGATTTAAAAAATAAACTAAGCTGTTAAATCTGTTGGGAACAAAAAGTTATTTTAACAACCTTGTACAAAGTACTTTGCTGATAGGTAACAAATGCTTTTTAGATTTGAGATATACAGGAACTGCAGTTTGGAAAAAGATGCTTGGGATGGAAGTAAAAAGAATAAGTAGAAAGAAATGACAGCAAGTGTATAGGAGATAAAAGTTACCAGTCAGCAAAAGGTGAGAGGAAAGGCCAGCTTGAGACACTTGAGAAAAGTAAAGGCTGGAAGAATAAGACTGAAGTAGAAAGGATGATGGGCATACCAAAAATACTTTAGAACTACTAAGATAAGAACTTTTTTAGCATTCATCCTGATGCCAGAGTTTCATTCTATTTTAATCTGCTGCCTTCTTTAGCTAATGGAAGTCTGTTGTCCCTTCATGATCTGGGGGACAGATTCACTTTCATTTGGGTTGGTTTCCCCATCTCTTACCTCATAATTACAAAACCCTACAGCATTTACACACACATTTCATTGACATTTAGCAGAAGAGTCCTGATCCAGCAGACAGTGTTATTCAGAGGGAAAAACAAATATTTTACTCTCACAGATTATTTCACAGCGCATTTGGATCTTTAATCTGGTGTTAGAATAGCTAAAGGAGTGTTTCTCCATATTTCTGCATAACTGAGAACAAACCTTAATGTTGATATAATTTGCAGCAGCATCTTTTTGTGCATAACTTTTCATGTTCTGATTTTTGTCCACATGGTTTAAACCCTGCCTTGCTGGAAGGATATAGAAACTTCACTAATGCAGTCATCACATAAGACATCTAAACAAGAATCTGGAAGTTTCAGGATGATCCTAAGCCATTAAATGTATCTTTGCACACATGCACACAGTTCTATTGTCTGGAATTTGAGATTTGTCTCAAAGTAAAGGCTGCTTTCCATAGGATTAAATGTCACCTAGCATCTTTATCTGATCTGTTCTTGTTGCTATCTTCAGTGGAGCTATTTCTGTTTTTCAAGTGGCGTTCAAAAAGTTATTTTAAACCCCAGTGCATATCCAGTTCATGTTATCAGCAGTCCAGAAATTACTTCTATAAGAGGGAGTACTTTCTAATATTCAGAAATAGCTTGGCATAACTCCAGTGTTATGCTCTGCTATAATCCTTCAAATAGCGTTTTAAATGGTGTGCATTTTCCTGTATCAGTGTAGCATCTGTTTCCACAGAAGTTTGCTTCATGAGGGAGTATTATAATGTCTATTATCCTTCCAGCCTTAATGATATTTTTGATGGATGGATAAAGCACTGCTACTGATCTTACTATAGTGAAAACGTTCAAATTGCTCTTCAGAGTTTATCACTTTATGATACTAGAATTCGAGTTGTCTCCCATTGCAACATGCCATGCCTAATGGATTGGCAACAATACTATTTCTTTGGTTTCCTTGATTCTCTATCCTTGAACTTGTTTTATGCAGCTCCTGTGCAGAGCTTCACCTTTCCTTGTTTTCTTCTAGAAAACAAGAGTTGCTACTCCTCTAGTTGTAGTTCTTCCCTATTAATACTGTTTTACAGCTGAGGAGAAAAGCCAAAATAGAAAAATAAGTCTCAATTTCTTTGTAAGCTAATAAAAAGCAAGTCAAAGATTAAATTGGTTTCTTTGGTTGGGGTTTTTTTTTTTTTTTTTTTTGAACGCAACAACCTCCTCTGAGCTCAATAAACCAACTGCTTAAGTCATGAAATAATAGCCTCTCACATTTCTGACACAAAATCATCAAAATAATTTACTTGAAATAAAAATTAAATACGAGTTGCACTGCCAAAACAATAACAGTGCTGTCAGCCCTCCATTTTCAGAGACCATTCATCAAGTGCTAGCAATGCAGTGTGCATTGCTGCAGAAAGTTTCTTTCCTGAAGCAGGTGTCAGGGAACCATAATGTACAATAGGATGCTTATTCTCCTTTTGTAGAAGGGGATTATTTATGCTCTGGCTTTTATACACTGTAATATTTTTGCTGCATTATTTGCAGTAACACAGTCGTTCAGTAATCATTATTATATTGGTTTAATCTTCAAAGCCTCGAAAAAACAACACAGAAAACCCCACCCAAACAACCAACCAAAACCAAGCAGTAATGCAGGCATTAGAAGCAAGGTATGGTAGAATTCTTTATGTCAGGAATGCTTTCCTGAAGTAGAATTTGGATTTCTGCATTGTGGAATAGAGCAAGATAAACACACATTCCACAGCAGGTATTTGTGGAGGCTTTCTTTGGGAAGAAAACATTGTTAGGTTTAGAAATAAAACATTGGTTTGTGGCATAGATAGGAGTATGTTACAAAGCTTTAGGGGAATGTAATGGCTTAATACCTGTTGATTTGTAGAGGTCTTTAAGAGCATAAGGAGAAAAAGGTTTGACATCTTTGTGAAAAGTATATTTGAATAAAAGAGTATCCACTGAGAAATGCAGAAAGAGGAGATTTGTAGGTGTGCTTGTAGGTAAAAGGAAGAGCAGCCTAAAAGGAAGCAGCTGCTATCCTGAATTCAAACCAACTGGATTGTGGATAACTTGTAGGCCTTGAAGATTTGAAGTCCTCTTGGAAAAAAAAAAAGTAAAATATAGCAAATACATGGAAGAAAGCAGTCCAAAATTTCTTAACTCAAAGAAGTTTGTGTAACAGAAAGTATTCTTCCTTTGTGCCAGCAAAGTTAAGGACTGTAACATTCAGAAGAATAACTCGCAGATTTAGACTAAATTAATTAAATTCAGCAGTGCTTGTGATGTGGAACTGATTCTTTAATGGGAGTGATTTGACTTGCTTGAATCCAATGGCCTGTCTGATCAGAAGTCATTAGGATGACAGAACTTAGAGCAGCAGATACAGTGGGAGAGCTCTGTGAGAAAATGAGTAATAAGTCTGCCAGAAGCATGATTGCAAACACGCAATCTTTTTCAGATTAAATTTATGGGAACTGATGAAAGTTTCATTCTGTTGTAACAAATGATTATTTTCAGATAAGTGCAGAATAGTCTTTTAATTATCTGCCACTACAAATCACTGAACAGATCATGCTCTGAAGTCTCACTGAAAATTTGTTAAGAAAACATTTGAGATTTGCCTTCCCCAGTTTAGTGACCTTTACCATTTTCAAGTCAGCATCAAATAAAGGCACTTAGTTCCTTAGGAATTCGCACTGCACTCTGCTTTTATCCTTTTAACCTCTAAATTATATCCTCCTTATATAAGTTTAATAGCTGTTCAACCAAACCTATTTTGCCTGTAGTAGTACAGCGCACCATTTTTCACTGTAGTATCTGAAGAAGCACACATTAGTCCAAGATGGAACTTAAGATAAATGTAATTTAGGAACCTCATTAAGCCCTTGAGGACTCTGCACAGTTGTATATTGAAGTTTAAACATCAACAGAACTGGGTTTAGGTTAGATAATTTTTCTTTTTCATCCCTGACACTCACAGGGTCTCCCCATCTTCTCCTCTTTTATGACATTACTTGTATTGATGATAAAAATATGGAATTCACTATAGATATCAGTAGCTGGGGGAAAGGAAGGAAACACTACAAATATTTGAATGTAAGCAATGAAAGAATCTATAAATGCTAGATATTTGCTTTGATATGACTGGAAAAGAGAAAGCATTTGTTGCTGTTAAAATATTTTTTAATTAAGTAAAATTAACCAAAAAGGGTATCAACCATAAGGATATTCCCCCTTCCCCATTTAATTTAGCCTCTCTACTCAACCTAACACATAAGATAAAAGATTATAACTTTTTCCTTGGATAAAGTAGTAGAATAATTCCAGTTACCTGTGATTATAAAAAGCTTGCAACATCCAGAAACACAGGTGATTTTTCAATGCATAGTAGGGTACAACACGTGGTATGTACAGTAGTAACAGCAGAGCAGCAACATCCCAGGCTGTAACAAGTCAGGATCCTCTCAAACGGAACAGCAGTAGGCACAGGAATAAAAGAAAGAAGCTGCTTACCTTCAGAAAGCCTTAGGGGCAAAGTAATCTGCAGCAAGATAACATTGCTTCCCTGGCCAACCTTTAAATGAGGTCTAGGACACCGTGGATCCTGGCTACACCCCTTCCAATCATTCAGGGGCATTGCGTGCACCTGAGCTCCCCTGGGTTGGCTCTGCCTTCCTACCAGGTGCTCAATCACTGGTTCAAGCCATCACTTAGTATTTCCACTACATAGGGTTAACATCTAAAGATTTCAATTAGATCAGCAGTTTGGGTTTAAAGTTATTAAAGTTTAAAGTTATTGTACTGCAGTTTTCTACAACTGCATGGTTGTGACTGTTGTTATCTTCCTGGCTTCAGTAACAAAAGATCTTCAGTATCTCATTCTTTTACGATGGCTGTGAGCAGCAGATTCTAGAAATGGAATGTTCTGAAATTTAATCAAATGTCATGGTTCAGATACTATCATTTATTTTACTTGCATCTCTGAATTTTAAAATAAAAATAACCCAGAACCCAAATCATCCCAGATTTGACAAGTTACTTTGACTGTAACAACATGACGTTTATGGCTAAGTATTCTTGAAGCAGAAAATGAAACAAAATATGTTGTTGATGTCATGTACGTTGCTCATTTAATTTCCGAGAGATTATGCTAGAAAACATTATTTAAAGCACTGAAAAAGGATCCAGAGTTGTTTGTTGGATTGTTTGAGGATTTTTCCTCCTAGGAAGTACTGAAAAATGACTTTACTGAAGCAAGGTTCTTCGTTCTTTTTCTGTTAAGTAGGTGGGGGGGTGTAAAATTTGGGACTGCTGATGCAATTACTTATGTGGAGAGGAAGTATATTTATTTTTTGCCATGCAGAGAAAAACTGATGAGTTCTGAACTGTAGATTTTCTACTGAGTTTCATTGAAGTGAGAAAATAAACAAGCAATTCAGTTGTGTGCTTTTTGATCAATTTATGGCTGATGCTGTCTATTCCACATATACAAGCTGAATTATATTACTTTGTGCTTATCCAGCACCTTCATAGAATCAGAGAGTCATAGAATGGCCCTGGTTGGAAGGGACCCAAGGATCATCAAGTTCCAAACCCCTGGCACAGACAGGGCAACCTCCAAATCTAATGCTAGACCAGGCTGCCCGGGTCCAACCTGGCCTTGAACACCTCCAGGGACAGGGCATTCACAGCCTCTCTTGGGCAGCTGTTCCAGCACCTCACCGCTCTCCGTAACATCCAACCTAAATCTTCCCTCCTTCAACTTAAAACCATTTCCCCTTGTCCTGCAGTTATCTATCCTTTCAAAGAGTTGATTCCCCTCCGGTTCATAGGCTCCCTTTAGGTACTGAAAGGCTGCAATGAGGTCACCCCGCAGCCTTCTTTTCTCCAGGCTGAACGAGCCTGTCTTCTTAGGGGAGGTGCTCCAGTCCCCTGATCATCTTCATGGCTCTCCTCTGGACCCTCTCCAACAGCTCCCTGTCTTTCTTGTACTGGAGGCTCCAGATCTGAACACAGTATTCCAGATGGGGCCTCGCAAGGGTGGAGTAGAAGGGAACAATCACCTCCCTGTCCTTGCTGGCCACCCCTCTTCTGATGGAGCCCAGGATACGTTTGCTTCCAAACTGCAAGAGCACACTGCTGGCTCATGTTCAGTTTTTCATCCACCAGGACCCCCAGGTCCTTTTCCACAGGGCTACTCAAGGTGCACTTTTCCCAGTCTGTATACTTATCTGGGGTTACTCTGACCCAAGTGCAAAACCTTGCACTTTGCTACGCTGAACCTCATTAGTTTGTCGAGGTCCCTCTGGATGGCATCACTTCCTTCTAATGTATCAACTGCACTGCTCAGCTTGGCATCATCAGCAAACTTGCTGAAGGTGCACTTGAGCCCATCATCGATGTCAGTGATGAAAATATTGAAGAGAACCTTCATGCTAGGATTTCAAGTGCAGTATCTCTATACTACTGATTATCTCTATTAAACAAATATAGATTTTTTTGTTATGAACAGTAAGAGGGGTAAAAATTGAAGATTAAATTGACTTAATCCACTGTTTATTTCTTTTTTAAAGCAAGGAGTAGGGACCTGGTATGTGATAGGCACTTTTTTTCATGGTTTCTGGCACTGCCAGCTTTATGTGAAACACAGGATACAATTTTGATTTTAGGAGCCTTATTTAAAAAATAAATTCCTTTATTTTTTAAAGTTCCATGCTATATTTATGATTCCTAGTTTACAGAAGAAAAGTATTAATTTTCTGTAAACACCACAGTTATGTAAAGGAATCAGAAGTCAAAGAGGTGTGGTGAATACTTGAGAAAACACTGTATCAGTTGAACTGCTACAGTTTACCCATGATTATTTTCAAAGCATTTTCTGCAGAGTTTAAGAAGTTAAGAGCTATTTATGACATATTGTGCTTTTTACTTGTTCAACCCTCTTCATTCTGAAATGCACTTAGTTACGTTGGAGCACTGCTTCATTTTTACTTTTTTTCGTTGAAATACAAATATATCTAAATGTAATAATTCACTTTTCCTTTCAGATGGTCTTGTTATTATTGGCGTTCATTCAGCGAAGTTTCCAAACGAAAAAGTTCTGGATAGCATTAAGAGTGCAGTTTTGAGGTACAATATTGTCCACCCTGTAGTGAACGATGCAGATGCAACACTGTGGCATGAACTAGAAGTGTCCTGCTGGCCAACTCTGGTCATTCTTGGGCCTCGTGGAAACATGCTGTTTTCGCTTGTTGGAGAAGGGCACAAAGAGAAGTTGTTTTTATTTACTTCAATAACACTGAAATTCTACAAGGAGAGAGGACAAATTAAAGATAACAATATTGGAATAAAGCTATACAAGGACTCCCTCCCGCCCTCTCCCCTGCTGTTTCCTGGCAAAGTGACAGTAGATAAATCAGGAGAAAGGCTGGTGATAGCAGACACTGGACATCACAGGATTTTGGTCACTCTGAAAAATGGGCAAATTCTACACACTGTTGGAGGTAAGGTTTTGTAAACTTTGTTGCAGACTTTTTCGTTTAGGGGGGACTGTGTTCTGTGGTGCTGCTTTGAGCTAGTAATTCAGAAGCATTGGGAGAATGTTCTTTCTCAAAAATCACTTTTACTGGACATGGGAGGGAAAAAGCATAGTACTATCAATGAGAAGCTCTTATGCAAATGGTTGAGTTACCTCTATTTTTTTTTCTTGTTTCATTAACTAAGTTCTGTATTTTTAAGTGACAGCCTGTATGAATTACAAAAGTACAGTTTTTCTTTCTTCTGAAAGATCTTCAAATGCATTTAGATTTAAGTGATGTATATCCACATCTAGCAGCAAGATAGGGAAAAAAGATATGAATGCTTCCCTTTCCAAGAGGAAAAAGAGAACTTTGGATTGTGGTGGTGTGTGTTTCGGGGGTGCTTTTTGTTTGTTTGTTTTTGACTGAAGAGCACCTCTCAGTAGGATCATCAAACTCCCTATACCAGTGGCACAGACAGTGCACTGACTCATTATCCAAGTGAACCTTGCTCAAAGCATCAGTCTCAGCGCTCTTCTCCCACAAGAAGCACAAATAAGGTTTATTATGACAAGAATCAGACAGTTTGGTTTCCGTTTTGTATGTGAGCTGAAGTCTCTGCTGACAAAATACTCATCAGTGTTCTGGGATGTTCAGTAAAGAGCAGCTTGGAGGGATGTGTCCTAATCTCTGAATTGGTGCCTTTGGTCCTAGTCATAAAGGAACGACTGGAACCCAACACACTGGTACCTCAGTATTTCATGTCTGCTCAGGTCTGAATTGTATGCTGACAGTAAGTTGTAAAAGTTTGTGTATTTTAGTGACTCAGTTAAATGATTCTGTGGGCAGAAAATAGTGTAATTGAGTTGATAATCCAGTAATAAATGTGGGCATGCACAGAGGTTGAAATTGTATTTGCATCATAAATCATGTTGCGCACGCACTCATGAATTTAAATGTCTTCTGCTGACACACAGTGCTGATGCACTTTAAATGTTACTCCATCTGAAATACCATGCTTACACTGATACTGCTTATCAAGGTCGCATTCCTCTCTGTTTCTTCGCTGTGCTATGCAGAAGGCTGTCACTCCATCATGCTCACTGTTCTCCCATGTAATTTGTTGCGTGTCATCTTTTTGCTAAGTTTTTATTAGTAATGAGAAAGTGCTGCTAATCAAACCCATTGTATTTACAGTCAAATCGAAACCACTGAAATGGAATTGAGGTTGGGATGTAAAATCTTTGCTGCTGACTTGCTCTGATGTAATTAGGAATACATTTTAAAAAAGAGTTTCTGATTGCTGTCTTCTGCAGTTACTCTTGCCTCTCAGCAAAATGGAACTGGAGCAACGTAGACCCCTCCTAAGACTTTTCTGTGAAAGATAATCTTAAAGATGCAGAGAACTCATGGAGAACGAGTTCAAAACTTAGTGTGGGGCTACAGCAATTACACATCACAGTGACTAAAATGAGGCTCCGCAGAATGTACGTGATGTAACTCAGCAGGGCACTATGGGAGCATCTTTTAGAATATGTGATTATCTTACAGGTTTAAATAGACCAGCTATTTTTGAGTTTCTTTTTCTAAAATGAATCTTGAGTTTGCTTTGGTTCATTTATAGGTCCAAATAGTGGAAGAAAAGATGGAAGATTTTCAGAGGCAGCTTTCAACTCACCACAAGGCGTTGCTATAAAAAATAATGTTATTTACGTAGCTGATACAGAAAATCATCTAATTAGAAAGGTAATTTTTCCATAAGAAAATTTAATCTCTTGTGGCTTGCCCTACTTAGTTGAAAATGTGTATCAAGTGACTTATTCTGCAGATACTCTCAACATCGAGAAAGAAATTTGGTCTAACAGCTTCCTAAAAAATGCTTTTGTATGGTGGTTTTTTAAAGGGCTGCATCTATCTTTTGTACTTCCTTGCAAATGAAGCTATGCACTACTTCTAGTGAGTCTTACCTTCCTGTTATAAGAAATAACTATTCTTAGTGCTGGAAGCAGAAGTTGTTTTTGTTTCACTTCCAGATTCTTATCAGAAGTTATTGTATTCTTACGGATTGGTGGATATCTAAACGTTTGGGTCTACAGTCTGCTTTAATCCATGTGGGGTTTTTTTTCTGTTTAACACGTGCAAGTTCTTAGCACATAGAAACATTGCTGTTAATATTTAATTGGAATTGGATCTCAAGCCCAGTGAGGTCAAACTTAGAATAATGAAAAGTTTGCTGAAGCAATATTGTGTTACCTTGTTATTAAAAGAGAGATATCAGGAGTCACTTAGAATATAAACATAGGGGAAAAAAAAGATAAGTAGATTTGGGCTGCAGAAATAGAAAATATTTTTTGCTTTAAGGCATGAAATGAACTGCAAAAATAATTTGCTTTGTATATATTATTTTATGTAATGATGAAAAATAATTTACAGTATCTGAGCTCTTATAGCATATTCCTTTAGAAGTTTAAAGTAACCACATCCATCTGAAACACTTCTCTAGAAAATTTTAATGCTTTCTTCTAAAATTGCTGACCAAATCCGTGTTAAATTTTGGTGCATCTGGAAGAGAAATGCACTCAGTTGTTTTTCCTGCTGCCTTACCCTCCTACCAACAGCAGAAAGCATTATGGTAAAATTAATGATTTTCCTTCATAAGCAAATGCCTGAAATTTATTAGGATTTGAGTTTTACTTGCAAAGATACACCATTTATGACATAGATTGTCTCAGATTGTCTGTATTACCTCTGTATTAACTACGCTTATAATTTTGCTTCTTACAGATTGACCTGGATTTAGAGATTGTGACCACTGTAGCAGGCATTGGGATACAAGGTGTTGATAAAGAAGGGGGAGCAAAAGGAGAAGAACAGCCTATCAGCTCTCCGTGGGATGTGGTCTTTGGAAATTCAGGTGCAATTTCAGTAGAGCTTTTAACAAAATCTCACATGCATGAGTGTTTGCTGAATGTTTTGCTGTTCTGGTAATAACCGAAAACATGAAATATTAAGACATACTTTACAATTGAGTCTAAAAACTGGTGGTTTCATCTGTATAAGTACCACTATTATTAGCTGAGTCTGTGTTTCTGATGTGAATCCTGAAAAAATGTGAGCTGTTAACCAACCTGAAGAAAAATTCCTCTGTAGAAAGTTATGTATTTACTTGGTCCAAATACAGAAGGAAATTGTGATTGCCTTTGCTAGCCCAGTGCTTTCTGCCAGGATGACTGAAGAAGCAGCTGCATTTTACAGGAAGTAGACATTGTCTGAAGTTCCTTTTCTTGGCTGTATGGACATCTCACCATTTGTAAATATTTGAGTTTAGGAAATAAATTTATCTGATGACTTCTGCTTATTCCTGTTTAGACGACGTGAAATTGTTAGCCTAATAGATCATGGTAGATTCAAACAGATAGAAGAAGAACACCTCAGAAAACACCTTCCAAGCCTCAGGGGATCATAATGAAGTCTTCACAAGATAGTATGTAAAAAATCATCTCCTGAGGATTTAAGTGGTTTTCTTTCCTGATCAACTTAACACAGTCCTGAGCCTGACATCACATAACTGCCATGATTTTAAATGTTATTAACTGGGAGTTAGTATCTTCTTTTCTTACGTTTCCATTTCAGTATGATTTAGAGCTAGCAAATGCAAGTTCCTTAATGACAGAAAAATGATTGTCTGTGGCATAAAACCCTTTGCATCAGGGAGAAAAAATTAGTTTAAGAGAACATGTAGCTAGTTCATGAATGCTGATTGTATGGTAGTCTTAGGATACAAATACATTGTTATTATATACAGTGTACTGCCAGCAGCCTTGACTACTAAAGTAAGCCATAGGCATCAATGTTACGTTTAATGCTGTCAGTGACCCTTACAGATTGAGAGTCCTACAGAGTCTTACTTAAGGAAAGCTGAAAGAGGATCTCACCAGATTTGGATTGCTGTTTATGATGTTTTCCCAATCTGATTTCACTCTTGTGATCCAGTAGACTGTTGTGTCTGAGTGCTGTAGTTCTCATTTTATTGAACCACACTGAACCAGCAACCCAGTTGCCGTGGGATGTTGTTGCAGAGCCATTTTACAGATCACTAATGGAGGAGAATTCCAACTCAGAAAGTACTGCCCCAGTGGATCAGAAACTTAATCCTCTTAACAGAACTATTCAAAATATACATTAATTATACTTTGCCATTTTCATGGTGCTTTTTTTCCTGCATCAACCGGTAGCTGAGTATCTGTTGATACTTTTATTTTTGAGAGCTCTGATGGTTAAGTAAAATGTTAAATGATATGATTGTTATCAACGTGAACACAGTAATCACTGAATTAGTCACCTGTAAAGAATTAGTCATCTGCACTGTTTAACATTGCTGAATTTTTATCAGTGTTTATATAAAAATCAGATTTTCTAAATGCACTGTTTTCAGACCAGAGTAGGATTTTTTCGTATTCAGTCACATCCTACCAACCAGTTGGCTGCTTAGATCTCTAAAAAATATTATAAAACTTTGAATTTAAAAGGAGATTAAATCAATTTAATCTCCTCTTCTTTGAGAGAATAGGATAGATAGGTAAAATGAGGGGGCTGCTTTTAGGATTTCTTAAGCGTTTTGATATGGTTTAGTGTGAGAAAGGCAAGGTAGGGAAAATGTAAATGATTGCAATATCTATGTGAATCTCTTCAGTAAACTGTAACTAGAGGGAGTTGTGGAAACATGAGGTTATGCTGAGTAGCTTTAACAGCAATGTGTCCCATAGCCCAGTGTCATCAAAGTACAAAAGGCAGACAGTATATTGATGGAAGCACAGTTTGAAAATGACTTTGATACAGCAAACCTGCTTGGAATGCTTTGTTAATATTTAGTAGGGGGCAGTACCACATACTGCCACGTATTGTACATATGAAGAGAACAGTTGAATTACAGATGACCACAGTGTGAGAGCAATCTTGTTTTCCAGATGTTCCGCTGGGCAGGACAAAATTTGGCATAGAAAGGTTGGTAAAGTTGGTAAAACTTCCTACCTAACAACACTGCGGAGTCTTTTTGGATGTATTGGAAAATGGGTTGATGGTTGGTCATGAGCTGTAGATGTGAGGTGGTACATAGCATCTCCTTGAAGAAGGGTAATGAACTAGATCACTTCCTGAAGCCTCTTTAAGTCAGTGTTACAGTGTGGAGGATTTGCTCTCTGTTCTCCTTGGAGTATGTGGTTGGCATTTATGATAACAGCTCTCAGAAAATGGCGTAAAACAAAACTGAAGACTCCCTTTCACCATCCCAGGCTGCAGTACTTCAGCCATGCTCACCTACTTCAGCTTCCTCCTGCATTCCTTGGCTGAGCCTGTCCTGCACATAGTTGCCTCAGTTCCTTCCCCTGCTGCTCCTGAAGGTCTCCTAAAACAGCCTTACATGTCAGAGCAGCAGCCTCAGGCTGGTCTTTTCAATGCAGCTTTCTTGAAGGGTGTTTCTGATACCTCATGTCATGGTGTCACGTTCATTTCATTAGGTTTGCTAAAAGAACTTCAAAACATGTAGCTGGGGTTGAACTCTGTGCAGCAGTCTCTATGTTTTAGATTTTAGGGGGTCTTTCTAGGGGGCTTAGCTTACTGGACTAAAATGAAATCTATCAAATGTAGACAGCACTGATGAGTGGTTGGTACAAGTGCTTACTTATTCTTGGTGCGTGTGCAGTATTTTTGGGAGCACCATAGAAATTGGAATGTTTTCAGGGGACCAAAATTGGAATTAAGTCACCGTTTTCAAGGAAACTTGAAGAATCAGAGTTTTGAACAAGTGAATGAGTGATGCTCACTGTAGTGCTGTCTTAAGATGAAGCACAAAAACAACCAGATTGTGCGCAAGGAGCCAGGACTGTGTTGTAGTTTGCACCACATATGCATTATGGCATGGATACAGTCATGAGCTGTAGTGAGTTTTTTTTCCTTTTGTTTTGTTTTCCTTAGGTTTGTTAACACTAAAAAACTCATTAGGTAGGGTTTGTCTTAATGTAAGTCGCTGGAACCTAGTAGGACATTCTCATAAGGTCCATTAGAATGCATATGTTATGTGGTAAACCCATATGAAGCTAATTCTATTGGAAGCCTCTACCACATAGAGAACTGTCCCTGAGCAGAAAGCCAGACTTCTGTTGGTGACTCTCACTGTGCTGTCTACAAGTTATCAAAACTATTTTGTCCGTATCTCTTAATGCATTTGGATGAATAAAGTTTCCCAAATGACTTTTGTTTGCATCTGGAGAGTAGTGCCCATTCCTGTAATGTAACTGCAAGCTGTGGGAGTCTATGCGTGTATGAAATACTTATGGTTCATTATTCCAAATTTTATAATTTATAATTCTGACTTTTGCCAGAACTGGAATGGCATATGGGAAATAGATTCATGCCTCTCTGTTTTCCATAGATCTATGTAATTTAAACTGTACAAGAAACATTTTTTTTCAGAATGTAGATTTATGGATATTACAGCTTTTAAACAAGTGATGGCCCAGAGCCATGCTAATCAAAACATGAGAGGAGTTAAAAAAAGAAAAGATGAAAGTGGTATTAAACAGCTTCTGCTGACCTTTCTCAGAGTGTCAGAGGGAAAGGTTACGTCTTGAGAGATTAATTTTTTGCCTCTATCAATCAGATCTCATCCAAGATTAATCCTCCTACATAAAGTTTAAAGTAAGTATTGATCAATTTAAAGACTGCATTGTTTGCTTCGTAAGTTTTTAATGTATTGTTTGTTGTGATCTTAAATTCAGATCCTGGTCTAAATAAAAGGTGCCGTGCACAGAACTAAGAAAAGCCCTCAGTTAATCCTCCAACTCTGTGTTCAAAGTCATTATCGCTTTGAGACAGTAGGCATAAAGGTGTGAAGTAAATACAAAGCTTAGTTGTAACATTTCAGTTGTCTCATGGATCCCAGATGACATTTAGCCTGATTCAAAGCCCACTGAAGTCCTCAAATCTGTTGCTGACATATGTTGTGGCGATACAGGAAACGGTTTCAGTGAATGACATTTTTTTGTGTAAATTCGCTTCTGAGAATACTTAAAGAGTCAGACTTCTTAATTCCATATGCAGTTCAGTTCTGTGGTTTCTGATCATTTTTGAAAACCTGTATTCATAAGGATAAAGTTCTCATTTAATCAGATGAGCAAAACCAAAGACCTGAAAGGGTGTAATGTCGTCCTTATGAAAACCAGATGTATCCCTGCTGGTAGACAGTTCTGTGTGATTAGAATTTGCTTTCTGTATATTTTGAAGATAAAAATGTTGAGAGGAAAAGTTAATGAAGGCATAGATAAGTTCATCTTCAGAGCAGATGCTACTATTATACTTTGAACCATCCTGACAGTGCTTGTATGAGATAACAAGCTTCTGTTTTATACAGATGCTGAAACTTGAGGCAAGGAGGTTAAGTGACTGAAATACCTCTTAATAGGAAGGTGATAGAAATGTCTTTCTAAGGTAGGGGGGTTAAGACAAACATTGTGCTGGAATTCAGATAAACAGTATTCTTCCTTGCCATCTTTAATTGAGGGTAAGCTTCAGTTTTGCCCTCCCCTTTTGAAAGTCTTGAATGAACTCCATGGATTAAATTCTGTTGTTGAAAGTGGTTCTGGAATTTGAATCGACTCAGATTATGCAGGAAGCAGACAATACAGGGGAAGGGCCAGCAGCTTAAAAATACTTTATTAAATGACTGTGTGCTTTTTTAGCTTTCTCTGTTGTCCTCTTCTATTTTTATTCAGTGGGTGTTGAAAGCAAGTGATGCTTAAATGCACAGTTGATCTGAGTGTGAAATGTTCTTGATAGCTGCATTCTTGCTGGGAGGTAAAGGACAATGACCTGTGCTTGGTGACATAACTGTGTGTTTCACATTCCAAAATCCAGTCT